GATCACAAAGATCTGACATGGATCACAAAGATCTGACATGGATCACATAGATCTGACATGGTAAACCACACTGTCGAAACAATATCATTTCATAAATAAATATATTGCTGTTCCAGAAGAAATAATATATCTCCTATTATTCTTCTAATAATAATGATTTTTTAGAATACTTTTGATTGATTAGATATTATAATTATAATAACAGAAAAATTTTCTTATGTATATACACATACATTTTTACCATAACCAATCAATATATATTTAAATAAGCATCAATTCGTGTTGCTTAGAACACTTCTCTGTAGACAATATTTTTAGTGACAAATCTACCACGATCGTCACCGTACATACCAATTCTAATTGATTGCGAGTCCCTCACACGCGAAAACGCCACGTACAGTTGTCCGTGCGTGAAAACCGGTGAAGGCAGAAGCAATCCCACTCTATCAAAAGTTTGACCTTGTGATTTGTTAATGGTCATCGCAAAAGACAGCCGTACGGGAAACTGTACTCGTCGCATTATGATGGGCAGTTCATCTTCTCCACTGGATGTGAGAGGCATCGCAGGTATGACAATGTCTTCCTGTGCATTACCAGACAACATTCTCGCCTTAAAGTTGTAACGTCTCAGTTCAGTGACGACCAACCTTGTGCCGTTGCAAAGTCGCCTCTTTGAATCTAGATTCCTCAACAACATGACAATTGAACCTACTTTCAGGGTCAAGTTGTACGGAGGCAATCCGTCTGGTTCTAGAGTATTGAGGAACTCTGTCGGATAATTGGCTGCTTCATCGGGATCGTCTACCACCACAGTGTCGATGGCGGTGTAGCTTCTGTGTGCACCGTCGATGCGTTGTAGCACCGTGCGATTGACTTGCCTGCATTCATCGTTCCTGGGACATAAAATTATTTTCCGAGCAAACTCGTCGATGTTGACCAAAGACATTTGCTGCGGAAAAACAAAATCAATCAAATCTGCAACGTCACATACCATATGTTGAGGTATTTCGACGGTGTCCGGAACACCGTCGACCGTTGGCAACTGACCGCTCCCTAGCTGAAGCAACCAATTCGCAAAGTTCACGTCGTTGTCAGCGCGCATGTTTCGCGTCAGACTGAACTGTTCCAATTCGCGCCACAGAGCGTTGTACTTAATCGACGATCTGACGATGTCGCTCCTCGTTCCTCTGCGGACGACCGGTAATATTTGTCTAAAGTCGCCGGCGAACAGGACTGGTTTACCGCCAAACGGTAACTCCGATCCCATCACGTCCTTGACCAACCGATTTACCACGGTGAGTTGTAGTCCCGGAGACATAGGCGCTTCGTCCCAGACGATGAGCGCCGCGTCACGTATCCTCTGAGCGCGTGGCGACTGCATGGTGATGGTTGACGTCGAATCGTCGGTGAGCGTGCCGAACGGCAATCCGAACATCGAGTGCACAGTCGTACCGCCGTCCATGAGCGACGCTGCGATTCCGGTGAACGCTACGGACAACACGGACCGCCCTTGGCTGCGAAGCGACCATATGAGGCATCCGTACAGCGTAGTTTTTCCAGTTCCCCCAGGTCCGTCGACGTAGAAAAGTTTTGAGACGTTTCTATCGTCGTCTACAGCCGCCATAACACGGTCGAACACTGTCCGTTGTTCGTCGTTCAAGTTTCCTACTTGTTGAACCCAGCGTACCGCCGCGTCTATTTGACCGAACATGCCACTGTCCGGATCCTCTTCCAGCAGTTCGACGTTCGGCAGAGGTAAACCGTAGTCATCGAGTGATTTCCCGTGACCCTGGAGTGACCGATCGATGGCGTCCAGACACGCCGCCCTCGCGCGCTCTACGTCTCGCATCCGCTGATAGAAGTCCTCCATCATGTGCGCTTCGTTGGCTTGGTACAACGTCAGCGGATCTGCGGTCTCGCAAAACAATAACATCGTCACGAATAGGTATCGAAGCTGAGATGGAGCGTCCAACGTTGCCGATTCTGCCATGCATGCCAGCAAAGCCCTGTCGTCTTCCAACAGTCCCATCGCGACTGCTGCAGCGGCGTAAGTTGGATGCACTACTCCATCTACTGTCCTCACGTCACGGTATGACTGCATGCCTCTCTTGTGCAGAAGTAGTAGTCGCAAATGGAAACGTTCTCGATCAAGCGGGTTGACGACGTACATTCGAGCCAGTGTTTCGTACGTCATCTGATTTTGTCGTCGTATTTATGTCCTTCGCGTTGCCTTCCAAGTGTAGTGTACCGGTATCTCTTGGTATAGGTACTGTCTGGCCTCGACGTCAGTCGCGTTGAGCGCGAAGAAGGCCGTGAGTTTTGTTCGAGCTAGAGCGGCGTTTTGCGCCCTCTCCAGTACCTGATTAGGAGCAAAGTACACGTTGTGATAATCTTCCAAGTGCACTGGAAGTCTAACGATCGTATGACTCCTCTTATGCATTTCAAACGAAAACAACCTCCAAACTGCTTCTGGTGGACTGACGTACCGTGAATTTATGTAACTGAAATCAACACGTATTCGCATTTAAAATGTACAACGTAATAATATAATTGGAAACGTTCTTAGTAGTAGTAGTAGTAGTAGTAGTAGTAGTAGTAGTAGTAGTAGTAGATACGTGTAGTATAGGTGTGCGGATGTGATAAACGCCGCTCTGGTATTTAGACTACCTATCAGGGTAGAAACAGACCGTTTTTTGTGTTTTTCTGCCTAAATGTGTATAAGAAGTGCGCGCGCAGACCGGTGTCGATTTTGAGTCGGTCTGCTCAAAACAGCGCCCCATAAGGGCAGTTTTGGTGACTACCATAAGGATCACACAGCCGCCGTAAAAGGTGAGTTCTAAATTAAATTACGTACATCGCGTGTAGGCCATTAGCCTTATCTAGACTAATTATTATAACGATAACAACACGACGCGGGCTATCGCCATATAGGCATATTACACGATACAGGCACTATCGTATGGATGCAGCTCATTACGGTCAATTACCGATTAGGATATTTTGGTTTATCAGAACAGAGGGGAATTTCTTTACTGAACATAATACACTGTCGACAACTCGGCGGCTATTCGCTGTAGCCGGACGGAATAAACGCAACCGTCTAATTATTACTGCGTTAGGTAGTAGGTAGACAAATACAACTCTACATAATATCGTGGGAAACTCTGATACCTCCGGATTTGGAACCCCCCGCGATATTTTCGATGAATTCCGAAGTAGAATTTGGTGGGGACTCCACGCCATGCGGATATCCGAGTATACAAACTGAAAAAAAGGCCACGCTTACGGAAAAACTGTTAGCGACCAAAGCAGGCAAAATAATAAAAGGTAAGGGGCCACTTCCTTCATCAGCGGAGGACTGGCACAAAAGAATGGAATACTCCGAAAAAATGGAGGGGGAACATTTTAACCGCGTCGGCAGAAAACTCGATGCGATGTTGGAGCAAGTCAAGGCTGCCAGAACCGTGCCGAAACTTGTCCAAACTGCACTAGCCGAAGCAATGGACGCACATAGGAATGCTAGTGAGGCACATAAGGAGCGACTTGAAGCTAAATCACAGTGGATGAAACTTATAGTAGCGAAAGAAGGCGACAATGTTAGATCTGGAAAGAACAGTGAAGGTATGGAAAAAGGGGATGACAAACTCTTAGTAGAAATTAAGGAAATAAAGTACCTGCTGACTGAACAAGACCGCAAGATTAGCGAACTAACAGCGAATGATATTAATAGACCAAGAGAAACACTGCCGAAAGAGATTCGGATGACTGAAGGTGGCGGGACAGCTACCCCTGTTGAAGAACTTTGGACTAAAGTTCTTAAAAAAAATCCAAAAAAGACAATAAGGAAAAAAGCACCAGCGGTATTAGTCAAGGCAGGAAGCGTATCTTATGTTGACGTGCTTAAAAGGGTAAGGGAAGAACCTACCCTGAAAGAATTTGCTGAGGATATTATGTCAATGCGTAAGACAGAAGCTGGCCACCTTCTGGTAGAACTGGATAGGAACTCTGCTAATGTCGAAAAAGTAAATTCGGTTATTTCGAAAGCTGTCGGGAGAACTGGATCAGTAGCCACTCTTAAACAAACTGCTAAAGTTGGTATTTTTGGCCTAGACGAGGTAACAACATCTGAAGAAATCGAAAAAGCAATAATCTCGATTTTCCCAAACGAGTCTATGAAAAAAATTACAATGTTAAAAATGACACGGGGCCAACAGATTGCAATAATAACGGTTTCAACTGAAGTCGCCAACAAAATTGTTGATATGGGGCGCATTAGAATTGGTTATGTTTCTTGCAAAACGAGGATGTGGCTAGATACCAAACGATGCTTCAGATGCCTAGCGCCTGGTCACGAAACTCGCCATTGCCAGGGGATTGACCGATCAAGTTGCTGCAGGGGCTGCGGGAAACTCGGGCATTTCATTAAAGATTGCCAGGAGACAGATAATAACCGTGCATCGTTTAGGGAGACACTAAGGCAAGAGGCGCTGCAGTTAACTCCACAATGATTCGTTTTCTTCAAGTAAATATTGGCGTTGGTAGGGCAGCACAGGACCTAATGGTTCATACCGCAAGGGAACATTGTGCTGACGTGGTATTGGTTAGCGAACAGTACCGTAATTTGGGCGAGAATGTAGGATGGTACAGTGACGCGACAGGAAGAGCCGCGATATTTGTAGCTAAGGACATAGCTATAGAAGATATTGGTCAAGCTGATATTGGGTTCCGGTGGATTAAAATAAAAGGTATGCGCATATACAGCGTATATTGCTCCCCAAACATACCAGTAGAGGAATACAATGAGTTCCTTAATCGATTGGAAGACAACGTGCGAGAAGCAGATGGACCAGTAATCATAGGTGGTGACTTCAATGCCAAGCGACCTGAATGGGGATCGCAAATATCAGATATAAGAGGGGACTTCTTGGCGGAATTATCGTGTTCACTAGATCTACAAGTTTGCAATGCCGGCGACCGCCCAACATTCACAAGAGGAGGGTCCGAATCCTACATAGACATAACATTTGTATCCCGATCGCTTTGGAACAAGGTAAATAACTGGCGAGTGCTTGATGAGGAATCGATGAGTTTGCATTGGTATATCACATTTGATATCACGCTTACCGCGTCTATCCCATTGCAACCGGTCCCGAAAGGATGGAACTGGAGGAAACTAGACCGCGAAAGATTGCTTATGTTCTTGGAAACAAATATGGTATCTGAGTTTGGCGGAACTAACTTGTCGGAGATGCTGCCAAACGCCCTGGACGCATACCTTGTGGCAGCGTGTAACTACACAATGCCCATTAAGTCATTCCATGGCCGAAAAAAGCCGGTCCACTGGTGGACACAAGAAATTGCTGAATTACGCAAAACCTCGTTTGCAGCAAGACGAAAATTTCAAAGGGCAAGGAAACGGAGGGGGCTCGGCGAGTGTATAGAACTAGAGCAAGTGGCGAAAAAAGCTCTTAAGGACCTGAGGGTTGCCATAAGAAAAAGCCAAGAAAACTCGTGGAACAATCTATGTCAGCTGGTGGACGATGACCCTTGGGGGTTACCTTATAGGCTCGTAATCAGGAAATTAATCGGTAAGCGACCAATACCGGGTATTTCATTGCCAGGTCGACTACAAGACATCGTTCGTGGACTATTCCCAACCAGGTGCCTGGTTGAGTGGAAGCTGCCTCCCGAAACTGAGACAATTGAAGCAGTCACGGATGGCGAGTTGGTGGAGCTGGCCAATGCGTTACCTTCTGGGAAAGCGCCAGGTCCAGATGGCATACCCGACACGGTAGTGAAGGCAGTTATACTGAAGAAGCCAGTTGAAGTAGCAAATGTCTTTAACAAATGCTTGCGGAATGGGTGTTTCCCTAGTGCCTGGAAGGAAGCTCGACTAGTGCTGGTTAGAAAACCGGACAAACCTTTGGAATTGCCCTCCTCCTACCGGCCCTTAAGCATGGTTAATACGATTGGCAAGATGTTTGAGCGCGTTTTGAAGAGACGTCTAGAGGCACACATTGGGCCAGCGGGGCTCTCGGAGAACCAGTACGGCTTCAGAAGAGGAATGTCTACAATAGATGCCATTGAAAAAGTGCTGGCTATAGTTAATCGTATTAATTCCGTACCCTGGAGACGAAGAGAGCTCTGTGCTCTAGTGTCAATCGATGTTGCTAATGCCTTTAACACCGTACCCTGGGAAAAAATCGGAGAAGCACTAAGACGAAAAAATGTACCTTTTTACCTGATAAGAATACTCCGGGATTACCTTAAAGAGAGACGGCTACAGACAGATGTGGGAAATATTGATGTTACATGTGGTGTACCACAAGGTTCAGTTATAGGCCCTATTCTGTGGAATATATTTTACGATGATCTATTGCGCCTAACATTGCCCGAAGGAGTACGGATCATAGCGTTCGCAGATGACGTTTTAGTAGTTGGATCCGGCTGGTGTACAGAGGCTTTGGAAGTATCAATAAATACTGCTTTAGACCAAGTTAGCGAATGGATGACCACAAACGGACTGACAATATCGGTAAGTAAGACTCAGGCTATAATGATGACGACAAAACGTAAATACAGACGCCCGCAGCTAGAGCTACAAGGTGACACCTTGGAGCTAAAAGGACAAATGCGTTATTTGGGAGTAGAGCTTAGCTCAACACTAAGTTTCATGGAACACATTAAAATGGCGCGCAATAAAGCCCTGAAGACAACGGTTGCTCTTTCACGCTTGATGCCTAATCTTAAAGGTCCGAGACCGATTAAAAGGAAATTACTAGCTTCTGTAGTACACAGTCAACTGTTGTATGCGGCCCCCGTATGGAGCTCTTCGCTAGTGTTTCATAACCATAGACAGCTACTGTTAGGGCCTCAGCGAGCAATCGCCTTGAGAGTCGCTAGCGCGTACAAGACTGTATCCACGGCGGCAATACTAGTTGTGGCCTCCATCGCCCCGGTGCATCATATGGCGAGAGGACGGAGTGAATTAAGACAACTAATAAAAAATGGAATCGAAGAGGCAAAGTACATGGTTGATGAAAATATTTGGAGGTGGTGGCAACAAGAATGGGAAGATGAAAGAGTCAGAGGAACGTGGACAAAGCGACTTATACCGAGAGTTCGTGATTGGGTTAATCGTCCACATGGGGTGACAAGCTACTACTTGACACAGATGTTGACGGGTCATGGCTGTTTCCAGGCATATCTACACAGGTTTGCCCGCACAGAGAGCGCACAATGTCTATCCTGTGGAGATACTATCGATGACGCAGAACACACGTTCTTCAAGTGTAGCCGGTGGGCTAGGAAACTGGAAGAACTGGAAGTCGCGGTCAATCAAGCCGTTTCACCAGAAACGATAGTGCCAATCATGCTTTACAACAAGGGTAACTGGAAATCGGTGGAACGGTACGTTACTCTAATCCTGAGAACTAAAGAACAAGAGGAAAGGCCTAGGAGGTAGAACGAGAGGACCAAGGCAGCGGACGCACACCAAAAATCCAATGCCGATCCTGGTGCAATGCACAGACGTGTAATACTGTTAATTTAAGATCCTGAGTTGTAGACATTGTTTATTTGCAGTTCTTTTTTTTTTTTTTTTTTATTATTATATTTTTTGGTGCTGAATGTTTAGTATAAGGTTAAGGCGTATATTGTATAAAGTCCATTTTGATAAATAAAAGATGACGGCTCGGGGGAAAGCAAAGCAAAGGCAGTCCTCCTCCGAGTTCGGCGATAATTACGATAAAAAAAAAAGTAGTAGTAGTAGTAGTAGTAGTAGTAGTAAATTATAAAGAAAGTTGTACTTGTTAAATCCAAGTAGAATCGAAATCGAATCGAAATAAATATAACACAATGTTGGTCGTCAATCTAATAACTATATGTCTGTATACAGTATAATTAATTTAATGTATGTTATGGTATGCAATTTTATTAATTTAAAAAATAATAAAAAATAACGTACATTAATGTTTTGTTAATGTTTTGAGTAATAGAAAAGTAAAAAAAAAAATATAAGTGTATTGTAGTACATTCCTAATGTTATTAACCGACCTGTAATTAATTCTACAATATGGATTACACATTAAGCGGGAATATGCAATATTAAACGTTAGGTATTTGCACTTGATAATTTTAAGTTATCAAATTACAACAACGGTATTTTTTCATTAATGATGAAATTCATTTGTACTATATTTTTGTGGCTCTACATATCAATGAATTAAATGAAGTATAATCATTATTACAAATTAAGTTGTCATAAGTTGAAATTGAAATTTCAGTATTGATACAATTTCTTAAATAAGTTTTTTGACATAGTCTTAATCTTAAATCTTAAAAATAATTAAAAATAATAATATTGTGCAAGTGGTATGGAAAAAAAAAAAAATTAACAGGACAATTATTTAAATGTAATTGTTAGATCACAAATCAAAATGATAAGTTTCATTAACTCACTTTTCTATTTCATCTCCATTCCAAACTTCCACGGTAGCTGCGTCGTGACCCTTGTACACATATTTGTACAGATACATTACGCTCTTCACAGTAGAGCATACCTCAACGTTTATGTGTGCGTCGTACTTGATCAGTAAGTAAGGGTTGTACGGTACGACTAACTCATTTCCTACTTGTTGAGCTCTGACGTTTGCCACAAGTCCGTTATTCGGTCTGCGGTATGTTGGGTAACCGCCGTCGGATATGTACAAAGTCTCTTCGCTGTACTCTTTTGGATAGTTTTTAGAGCAAGTGTTGTCCACCATACACGGACTGTTACGGTTTAGCTGTCCACAAGGTCCGTGTATCATGTGTGATGTCACACTGTTGAATAGGCGTCTGTCGGTTTCAGGGTCGGGCAAACAGGCGCATACAACATCGTCAACGTCCTCGGCAGTGAGCAACTTATTGTCCTCGTGCAAGATGATGAGTATGTGTGCGTGCGGAAGACCGCGTTTCTGAAATTCAATAGTATAGACAAAAGCGTCTACGTTACCAAATACCTTATCAGTTGTTATATCACGCATCAGCTGCTTTAGTTTTGCGTGGAACACCCTCGCCACCAGATCGGGCCTGTCGTTAGCTTTCAACCAATGCGGAATGTTGTCTACGATTTCTGGCCACTTAGGGTTACATGTAAAAGTTATGAACAGGTCAGGTTTACTGTACTTACGCACAATGGCCATCGCGTCATGGTAACATTGTTTCATGTAACGGGGACCACCCACAAACGTCGAAGGCAAAATCATCCTGCGACCGACGGGGTTGATTTCATCGACATGATGCTGTTGGTTTATGTGGTCCACAAGCCCCTGATACGCTTCGGCGAACAGCGCTTTCTGATTGAGTCTGGTGTAGCGCAAATTGTTCGCTTCCATCCGAACGTACTGATCACACACGTATTGCTGTAATAAAAAACCACCAGCATGTAATAAACTAAACGTTTGGCCGTCATTCCCATGTCCATTGTTTCCAGTATATCGAATGGCCAGACGGTAACACACAAACTCCCTGATGGTGTTTCGAACGCGAACAGCGTTGCGGCGGTTACCCTCTTGTCGCAGGTTGTACTGCCAACCGGATTCTCCGTATGGAAAGAACAGTGGATACAGCATGGGATCCGCATGAGGCGAGCCCACTGATATGCTTTGCATCCGGTGTTGTGCGTCCACCGGAATCGTGTCATAGATGACCAGATCGAGGTTCCTCGGTGGCAGCCCGTCATCACCAACGAATACGACTGCTACTTCATTCGCATTACCAGTTGGTGGATTGTATCGCCGAGGGTCATTATTTGGGTCGGCGATGATGTGCATTGTCACTCTTCTCGGTCGCACCGTGGGATCAGCAGCAGCAGCTTCTTGTTCCCTCTGCCATACCTGTCGCATGGTCCTGTAACAAAATAATAATAGAGTTACCATTCTGAAGTCTATATTATATATATATTATTATTATATGATGATTAGGTTTAAGTCTCGTTTGGTGCAATATAAGCGGTTTAACGGCGATTAAAATTGGTCAATAATTGTATGTATATATTAAGGTGAAATAAGAATATGATAACGCACTGGTATTGTAAAATCACACATGTTAAATTTTATTCTTAAAAAAGTAGATATCTTAAAGAGTGAGTAGTGAATAAGATGCTAACTATGTACATCATCAGGATAAGAATAATTATAAATTATATGAGTATAATATATCGCAACACAATATTCTGAAATAATAATAATGAATAATGAATAATAACAACGAATTAAGTCAATTTAAGTAGCGAGTGATGTCATGAATGTGTACATGCAAATAATAGAATATCGATTGAAATATATTAACAAAAAACTATATGATTAAATTTTTTTTTGTTATACAACAACAATAACAACAACAAAGAAATAACTAAAAGTATCGTACAAAGTATGATGACAATAACGAATACAACAAATCCACAGTACACTCAAGTGCCATCATTGAGTTAAATTATGTAACGATTGTTATTATATAATTACATTATATAAATATATTATGTGTGTGTGTGTGTGTTGATTTTCAATGTGATGGGGTTTGTTTATAAGTGTAATGAATGTATATTTAATGTATTATTACTGAAAAGCCACTGCAAACGGATTGATTTGCCGTAACAGACTGTCTAACTCTGTAATCAAGTTCTCCAATAATGGATGTTGGCGTGGCTGTTGTGCCATTCGAATCCGATTGGCCTCCCCGGATTCAATGAAATACAACTCACAGTAACTCGGTTGCATCATTTCATTTCTGACGACATCGTTAGAAATCCTACGATACACCTGCCCGTGAACAGTAAACACTTTTGGTCCCCGACCTGGCAAACGTCTTGGGTTGAGGTCAGTGGAAAACGCAGCAAACGCCAAAGTGTTGTTGTATCGTCTGATTTCTTTTCTAAAGTGTCTGGCTACCTGTGAATCATCTATTAACAAACGAATTAATAACTCTGGAGGTTGACCCAACACGCGGTCACCCGTAATAGCCATTTGACCATTATTGCAACACGTTGAAAAATGAGTATTTCCAATCTTCTCACACCGGAAATGACGGCCATAACAGTGAGCGCAGGCGGCATCCAATGGTCCTATGTCGTGCTGTTCGGGAAGTTGGTGTCGAACGCCAGCCGGACGGTCTCTAACGGGCACATGTGCTCTGGGAGCAGCCAGGGGAATCGGTATGAACTGTAGTTTAAACAACGAAGTTGTAAAAAAACAATGTCATCTACTATTTTTATTTAATGTGAAATGTACACTGACTTCACCGTCGACGTCTGATGGTAAAACGTCGAATACATCCATGAATTCATATACTGCTGCAGCGTCAGCTGGCAGCATGTCAACAACCTCAATGTCCTCTAAGACTTGTGCCAACGGTTCTTCGTCTACGTCCGTCATGACATCATCGATTTGTACTTCAACAATTTCCACGTCCATGTCTTGTTCGCCGTCTGGCGCTGCAATCATCTGGTGCTGATTTTGTACTATCTGTAACATTATATGAGGTCAGTTTTAATGTGTGTCTGTATAAAATCATTGAAGTTTGGTACACATATAACGTTATACATTTTACTGTAACATTTCAACGTGTGGAATAATAAATAAGAATGATGTGTACTCCTTTGCTTGCAACAGTGGATGCTTTGTTGCCCAACATCTACTTGTCAAATCGATCAAATCAAAAAATATTTTACAATTACAACAATAATTAATAAATTGCTAGATGTGCTATGTATGTGTGTGTGTGTGTGTGTGTGTGTGTGTATAAACATAGGTAGCAGTCATCACAATACAGTAGGATATTTGACATGTTACGTGTTATATATTTTATATTTATTATATATTATATTTGATAATATTGTAAAAAAATTAAAAAGTCACTCACCAAAGACGGCACTGCTGTGTTAAGCAAATGGCGACGACGTGGAGTGCCTACTTTGTAGTCTACACCAGGGACAAAATGCCTTGAACACAGAGCGGAGGTGGGATTTAACATTTGAACATCCACACCATTGTTCTCGGCGAACAACATCCACAGATGCCTAAAGTGATCATTCGTTGGAAACCTAATACAAACAACATATATATATAAATATCATTAGAGTACGTATTGCTGAAACAATAGTCCAGTGACACTGTTTCACGTGTGTATGAAAATATAATTACCTGTGCACAGAAATACCTTCGACACCGTCGACGTTCCCACAAATAATGCATCTTCTAACCATAATAATGATGTTGGACTTAAAAAACGCAAGTCTGAACGGAAATAATTGAATATGAACGTATTTATGTGGTCGTTGTTGGTTTTGGTATAGATATAAAAAACATATTTAATGTTGAACACGTTCAACGTACAACAGATATATATATATTTAATAATTAAAAATGTTATTTTAGTGACGATAATTCACGAACCTAGGAATTCCAAAGTTATGAGTTATTTTTAGAAATTGTTGTGTGTGTAAATAATAAAAACATTAAAAATTTTTTTAAATATATATATATATATAAAAAAAAAACACATTGTTGAAACTCGTAAAAACGAATTACGACAAATATATACGCGAAGGAAAAACATTAGTTGACGTATAATGTTTGTTTGGTGAATAAAAAATTAGAAAGCGTCATAGAATGCCGACTTTAACGCGTATACACTCGTGTGTGACTAATAAAGCTTGTACTTACCGGTCTCAAATTCGTTGTCGTTGAACGTACGTTGCGCCAGCACCGCCCATTAAAAAATTTTGACTTTTTAT